CGGGGATATCGGCACCGTGAAAGTTGCGACACACCGATGAAGTTCGGTTTTAACGGCGGAATGATGTAGAGGGATGACTTTTGGGACTTGTGTGAGAAAATGCCAGGATGTTCTTCAATATCGTGCACGAATTTATGGTATCACTGCTGCAGGTTACAGGGTTCTACGGGTTCTAGGATCGGTCGTGAATAGGCTTGCCAGATGTGACCGGTGTTGGGCGATAAGAAGTGAATTTTTTCCTTGGAAATTATTGAAATCTGTAAACATTAAGAGTTTTGACAAAATTGTGGAACGAATGAAAATGCTACGGGGGGGGATTTTAGAGGAATTTAATTGCAGATCGTATCAATTAAGAATCGCAATTGTGCTCGTATCGGAAGAATTTTTGATACGCGATTTAAATGATTTCAAAGGACATCAATTAAATGCACATCAATTTCTGCTACAACATGTACATTCCTGTATAAGAAAAACATAGGCGATCTTGAAAAAGAACGGAAAAAATAGGATTTATAAGAGAAATTTATCTTTAAAAATTGTCTCGTGCCACCGTAGCTAGAGAAGATAATTAAATGGCCTGTTTTGCTCAGCCTAGAACTGATCTTAAATGATTAATAAAGAAGAAAAGAAAATCGACGTAAAAATGAAACGTAAGATACAAAGTTCGTGGAGTCTCATTCATAAAATTCTTCAAGGATGCTCAGCGAGAAAGCACGGCTCATGGTTGGCGCAGCGCACCCAAACACAGATCAGCCGAGATATCTTGGACAGGTCCGTGTCCCGGGACACTGTCCAGGACCCCGGGAGCTTGTGTCGCAGGAGCCGCAACAGATAATTTCTCGGGTTAGTTAAAAGTCACTTTAGTTCCTTCGCCGGTCAGGACAGCCCCCGAGCCTGGGAAACATTTTCGACGCTCGTTGCCTTCCCTCTTTTTCATTTCTCGACCAGGGGAAAGCAGAAAAAGCGTCCGCTCCACGACACGAAATTAAAGGGCGCTATCACATGTCGAAATTATAAACGATTGTACTCGAAAACTGGTGCGTTAGTGCGCGAACAAACTTCAGAGGAACTTGTTGGCGAGTTCGTAAAAATGTATCTTTAATAAATCTTCAAATCTTGCAGAAATTTTGAAAAATTGCCGTACCTGTAGTAATAGAACATTTTAAACTATCTTTGCATCGCTATGTCAAACGAAAAACAGTCTTTCCTTTTCTTACGGCGTAGAATCCTCGGTGGTCTGTTAAATAATTAAACAGACGATAGCAAGTCAAAGAAAAAAATTGCCAAATCAGAAATTATAAATTCTTTCAAACCACGAAAAATCTATTAGCGTCGAACAGTCGAAATTTTGAGAAGTATCTCCTTCAAGGCATTTCGAGCATCTCTGTCGTACCGTTAAAATCGAGAAAAACGTGTCACATTTGAATTCTCCCGTTCCGTCTCTCCCACACGCGAATCTCATCCCGTTACTCCGTCCTTCTCGGGACTGTCTTTGCTCTCAGGATCTCGATCATCGGCCGAATAATCCCGTGGAAAGATTCGCGTCGCGGGTATCGATCCCACCGCAGATGAAGGGTTTAGTCGCGGAATAATTAATGTGAGAGAGCAGGTACCTCCTTGCGTACACTCGTCTACTCCACTTTCTCTGTGATTCGACGCCGTGTTTACGGGAAGTTCGAAGGGGACCAGCGTGCATAGGTAATCGCCACGCGGATCCACAACGTTCGCGGCCGACGGATACGGTCGGATCATTGTTCCTACGACCGCGTGCAGGAACGATTCCTCGAATGTCATCGATCGTGCAATTCAGACGAATTCGTTTTACAAGTCGAACGAGACGAGCAGATTTTTCCATGTTTCCGCGGTCCGTTCGGTGGATTCTTTACAAACGTCCGTCTGCTTGAACCGCGATACCGATTTTACGAGAACGCTGCGGAAAGCGTTTCTTCTTACGAATATTGTCTCGAATATGAGACTTTAAATAACAATTTTATCTTCGTGTTTCTTTATTCATACTCGTTCGAGGATATTTGGTAAGTTGAAGCATCAAATAAATTTATTACCACGTTCCTTTACTCGGTGAAAGTTTAAATAATAAATTTATTTCTACGGTTCTTTACTCGTACCTGGTTGAGAACGTGAAATTAGTTGAAACTTTGTATTTATTTACATGTTCCTTTGTTTACGCTGATTTAAGAATGATAAGTAAATTAGTATATTAAGTTTCTAACCAACGAAGACGAGTTGTTTTAGTTGACAATTCGAATAAATCCCTGGTTTACGCGTTAAGCTGCGTCTACGCTATATAACATAACAGGTTATACAGCAAAGTCATAAAACTTGTTAGAAAAAGAGACAGAAAACTGTTGTTCCATAAGTTTCCCATACAGAATATAATCATCGTTAACGAAAAATGAAATTTATATAGTTTATATTAACAATACTACAAAGTGATTAAATTTTCATACGAAGAAACGAATTTTGGCATAGTTTCACTAGCAAAGATCAAACCCACCGAATGTTCGTCAGCATTTAACGAGAAGTTAGATCGGAATGAAGCATTCTTCCACTCTATCTCTCTCTCCGCACTCGCAAACTTATTTCCCACTGTGTAGTGCATCGATGCAAATCAGTTTGCCACCCTGCAACAAATACCGCTCCAACTGTTGCACAAAGGCGACGATCGCTCGCGCGAATCACGCCGCCCTTTCATCCAGTTCATAAAGGAAATCCAAAAAAGCGAGAAAGAAAAAGGACGGGTAAACAGAAAGCGGCGTAATGACGGCGCGCCGTGTCAGAAGGGATACTACGAAACGCGGCGAAGGAAATTTAACGCGGACCACGGGTAACGCAAGTATAACAAATGTGACACTGATCGTCAACAAAAGCCTGGCACAGCTCCAAGTCTCCGGCATTAACACGCGTAGAAATTACCCCCGGTAATTTAAACGCCTGGGACCCACTGTTTAATCACATCGTCGATTAACGACCATCGCGGATACCTCGGAAAAAAAAAAACAATCCTTGCGAATCCTTTACCAATTCACCCGCATTACGAGGAACCGTTGCTCGAACCTCTCGGTTGAAGAAAACCACAGATCTCGCTATCCTCCGCGACGAACAAAAACAGACCCCGATTACGAGAAGAAGAAGAAAAACGGAACACCAGAAGGGGTGCAAGGGTAAAAAAAAAAAAACCCTCTCGAGTAACGGGTATACCCGCGCCGAGGATCCCGCGTCACCGTCGCGAAAACTGTCGGTCCTCTGATCGAGCGAGAGAAACTCGCGCGGCACAGCCCTAATCCAGACAGAGAGGAAGGTATCGAGGCAGGCCACGGGGAACGGGAGCGCGAGAAGGAGCAGCGCCCAGTGAACAGAGAGAGGGCCACGTACGCGCACGAGTATACACACAGTGTAGGCAGCGCGCGTGTAACTACACGCCGGAGAGAAGGGAGACCGAGAGAGAGGCGAGATCCGTCCTCTGCGGCGGAACAGAGACAAGTGAGGCGAGAGCGAGAGCCGAGTGCACGCTGGCCGCGAGCGAGAGAGAGGGGGAACGCGTTACCCCCACCACGGGGGTGAAAACTACCCCGAGAGCGCGTGGGGTGTCCGGCCTCGGCGCCGAGGCGAACCGAGCGCGTCCGAAGTGAGCGCAGTGCCCGACACACCAGGTCCCGCACGGCACGACTAGGCGCACCGTCCGGCACAGTCCACTCAGAGATACGACCCATGCTGGACCATCGTCGCTCTGGTCCACGCCGGCATCAGGCATCCAGCATCCGCGCGTCAGGCCACACGCTGAGACAACAGCAGAAGCTCGTCGAGGACGTCGCCGGCCAGGACACACGTCGTCTACGTCGCCGTCCTGGAAGGAGCACGTTGTTACCCGTCACGTTCTACGCGGACAAGATCGAAAGGTCGAGGTGGGACCGACAACTACACGATCCTCGTCGACGTCGTTGTGACTATTGGTGCACGGGAAATATCGGCGAACGGTATCAGGAGGACGCGTGACGGACGACGATTGTTCGGTACGCGTGTGGCGCGCGCTTTCGTTACCAGCGCGATTCAGATCGACGAGAGAAAGAGGACCCACGGCGAGAAGTGTGTGTGCCGGGAAGCGTGTTACGCCAGTCAGTCAGAATAGCGGACAGTTGCCGCGCCGACACTAGGACACTTCGGTTGTTTGTTTTTCTTTCCTTTCTTTTCTGTTTTACTTTCGGTTCCGGTGAAACAGCTGAGGACGCGACGAGGTGTCAAACCAGAGAGAGATAGAGATAGAGAGAGAGAGAGAGGTGGATCAACAACGACAGCGACGGAATCCGAGGTTGGAATGATCGCGAGTTCTTGTGACACCGTGTGACTGTCGGACAACGTGCGACGGCACCGCGGTTACCCTTGTTGACGTTCCATATATTTCCCTAAGGTGAAACTCCTTGGGATTCTCGACGGTGTGAGCTGGTTGCCGTGGAAAAATCGGTTCACTGGAATCTGGTGAACAGCTCGGGAAAGGTGCCGCACGAGCTTCGACCAAACGATCGGCTCACACCTGTGTCTCACCTTCTCTTCTTGACCCGCGATAATTCTTCCATTGGCCATCTCTATACACTACCGGTGTTTCGCGTGTATGTGCGCCGCTACGTGTGTCGTTTCGTCGTCTGACTACTCGTCCCGCGAACGCGCTGAGCTAAACGCCAGCCGAGGAACACGATGAGGACGAACATTAGTTGACGAAGAAGTGCGTCCCGGCCGACTGTCAGTTCCGTCGTCGTCGCGGCCAGGTGCACCAGACGATCGGACGGGAAACAAGACAGAGAAACAGAGGGAGACAGAGAGAAAACGAGAGAAAACGTTTCACGGGAGTCCAGATAAATCATAGGATAATTAAACGACGAAAAAAAAAAAAAAAAAAAAAAAATTCACGGGAGTCCAGATAAATCATAGGATAATTAAACGACGAAAAAAAAAAAAAAAAAACAAAGTGCTCGGTGGGGGGTTTCGCGCGAAGGTTCGATCGAGGAAGTTCGAGAAACTCGCGGAGGAAACGACAGGAGTGAAAAAGTTTTTCAAGGTGGAAACAGGTGAAACGTCGGATGGACTCCTTTAACCGAAGCAACACCGTGGGGCGGAGGTGAGGGGGAGGAGGACAGAATCGTCGACGATCGTGTCCACTTTGCTCTGCCGTGCTCGAAGGGGGACAGTCTTCCTTCCAGCGTGGTCCTCGCCTCCCCCTTTTCTTCTTGCCACCCCTTTTGGAAAAAATACCTGTCCAAGTTCGAAAGGGAATCCGCGGGCGTAATCGCTCAACGACGAACGAACAATCTCCACCCGTAGAACAACTTTAAAACCTTCCGTCCTGGACGTTCGAAGGAAACGCGCAGACCGGAGGCATCAATCGTGCGACGCGCCACGAAGATCGACGAACGTCACCATGAGGATCAAAATGCCCGCGGTCAGGATCGCGCAAGGTGAGTGAACGAGAAAATGTCATTTTGCTTTTTGGTCCAACGAAAATGTGTCACCCGGTGATCCGTCGTTTCGCTTCGCGTCGGCGTCCGTCGCTTGACCAAAACAACGTCGTTTTTTGCGTCCCGAGCGTGTAACGTTATTTTCGGATTTGGCGTGAGATTCCCGCCGTTATGTCGTCGCGCGGCACAACTTCAAAAGCGGTGCGAATCTTCTTCCGCACGAATTTCCTCGCCTCCTTTGTAAACGTCCGCGCGATCGCTTTTATTTCGAAACAGTGTTGCCTCGTTCGAATTTCACCCGAGTTTTGTTTCAAAGTATAGGAATTTCAAGTTCGAAGCCGGACACAGGATATCTACTTTCTTTTATTCTTGAGAAATGTCGCCGGAAGATACGAGAGTGCCTTTGTGAACTGTGAATTAACCGACGATGTAAAGTCGGGATACACGTATAATCCAGTGGAAACGTGCACAGGCGGCGTGTATTTGGGAAAAGTGGGGCAAAGTTTTCGATCGTATTTTCTGTTTACCGAGGAAGAAAGTGTAGCGCGGTGTCGGCGCGCGGAACTTCTTGCGCAATTTTGCAAACCTTTAAATGTCGAGTAATTCAGAATGGACAGACCACGTTCGAGTTTCCCACCGCCGCTTCCGTTACTTCCCTCCGCCGCAGAATTACATTCAAAGCTTCTTACGGGACGAGAGGACTACCTTGGAATTTTCATTAAAGTCACTGCTAAAAACCACGAATCTTACGAAACGCGCGAGACACATCGATCGATGGATCTCACATTCCACACCAAAGAAATCCAGTTCGATTTGTCGACTTCTACATGCCCCAACGGTCCCCGAAATCCCGTGAATCCCAGAGCGTGGCCGTAAATCATTCCTCAATCGAGTCACTAGCCTGCCGCCCTAATTCTTCCCCGATGCCCTTAACCCGAAAACCCGGGAACGACGAATCTCGATCAACCACCTTCGAAACTTCTCCCAAAAAACGAACACCGCAAAAATCACTCGTATCTCGTTTTAATCCACCTCGTTACCGTCCTCTCTCTCTCTCTTTCTCGAACGCAACCTGTCGCCCCTCGTAGCGCAAGGGCAAGCTAAAACCAGTTAAGAAAAAGCAGGAAGAAAAAAGGTGGAAAAAGGAGGAAGAAGAATCGGTGACGGTCGCGTGGCCACGGTTAAGAAAAATAAAAGACGCGCGCGGCGTGGTGGACGTAGTCTAGAAAGACGAGAGAGAGAGAGAGAGAGAGAGAGAGAGAGAGAGAGAGAGAGATGGCGGCACGAAGAAGGGGGCGAAAGAAAGAGAAAGGGAAGGGAAGGAATGAATGAACGGAACGGGCGGGGGCGGTGGCGGGAAATGCGGGGTAGCAGGCCAACGTCTTCGGAGAACTCGTCGCCGGCTGAATTTTTAATTAGTCCCCGACACCCCCACTCGGTTCCGTAGCCAGGCGTCGAGGGTGGAAAAAGAAGACAGACAGAGGGAAACAGAGAGAGAGAGAGGATGGAGGCGGCCAAGGCGGAGGTGGAGAAAGAACAGGCCGAGGGGATGGGGTGGACAAGGAGGGGCGGCATTGTCATGCGCGCGTTTTTCACAGACTTTTCCACCCCCGTCTGCCCGCACCCTCGTCGGTACATACCCTG